ACCCTCTCTGCCCAGCAGGAGGGAACGGGGAAGGGGCGGGGCGGGCACTTGTGTGCCTCTGAGCTCCAATCTCAAGGCAGGCACCCGCGAATCCAGGCCTCCTCCCGCTTTCTCCAGGAGGAGCCAAAGGCCCAGGGCTCTTCTCAAGAGAAGGGAGGGGTGGCCTGGCAGGTGCCCATTCTGTCCCCTGTGGGGGCGGGGGGAGGGCAGCCCTGTGACGTGGCAGGTTACGCTGCCACCCTGGTGCCAGCATCCACATCAGAGTGCCAGTTCGAGTCCTGGTTGCTTCACTTCTGATCTGGCTTCCTTGCTAATGTGCCCGGGAAGACAGTGAGTGATGAGCCAAGGGCTTGGGCCTTGCCACCCATGTGGGAGCCCCAGATGGAGTTCTGGGCTCCTGGCTTCAGCCTGGCCCAGTCCTGGGTGTTGCAGTCATTGCGGGGAAGTAAACCAGCGGATGGAAAATCTCTCTGACACTCTGCCTTTCAAATAAGTCTTAAAAAAAAAAGTCTTGGGGCAGGTCCAGACACAGGGGGTGGGCACCTTGTGGTGACACTGGATCCCTTCCCGCCCTCTCTTCTGGCCACGGCACCTCTCAGCCTGGGCCCATCTGCCCACGAGCCCCAGAGCGCAGCATGGCCCTCCAGGGAGGTGGGGGGGAGTTGGGGACTGCAGGCTGGGGCAGGAGGTAAGAGGTAGAAGCCCAAAGGCCCACCCTTCCGCTTTGTGGCAAGAGGGAGGGACTTGGTGTGGCTCCAGGGACCCCCTCTGGGAGCAAGCGTGGCAGACAAGGGATGGAGCCCCAGGTCCCCTTCCCGCTCTGCTCCTGACCACCTGCCCCGCCCCTCCCTTGGGCTGGATGCCCAAGGGGCTGCCAGGGACAGGAGCCACTGCTGGGGGGAAGGCGGACCCTGGTGGAGCTGCACTGGGGTAGGAGCAGGCAGGGCCCCGGCTGCCCCAGACACACTGACTGAGGCCCTGGGGTCTGCCTCCAGGTAGGCCAAGCCCCCCACAGTGGGCAGGGCAGGAAGAGGGGCTCACTGGCCCCTGCCACAGGGGGATGGAGAGAGGCAGGTGACGAAAGGCCCTCACACCGCGCTTTGCCCGGATGCACTCTGGAAGCTGCAGAACACGACATCCTGCACTGGCCAGCCCTGGTGGGCGGGTGACGTGGCTCTGGGGAACAGCTGAGCCCTCCCACCCAGGGACTCCCCGCTGACCGTGGCTCCCAGGACAGACCAGGCTTCAGTGTGAGAACTTGATCTTGTAAATCTGGCTTAGAGCCGGGCCCTGTGTGGTGCAGCCTGTCCTGCAGCGCCCCCTGCTGTCTGCGCCAACAGGGCCAACAGGGCTGTGGGAAAGCAGGAGTTCGATCCAGGTGGGCCCTCCTCCAGGAAGCCCCCCACCAGGCCCAGGGAGGGAGGTGAGATCAGCAGGACACCCCCTTGACAAAGAGCATCCGTGGTTCCTGTTAGTCTATCTTCAGCCCAGCCCGCCGAGGGGTCAAAGTTTAGAAAACATGGTCTTGCTTCCTGGGGGGCTTCACCCCTGGGCCAGATTCTTCAGGATTTCCCAAGACGCCTGTCTCCCTGTCCCCATCACACCTGCCTTGCAGAGTCAGGGGTCGCAGGGCTCCCTGTGGAGACCTGGGAGCCACAGCTGGAACCCCACGGCTGCCTTGTGTCCAACCAGCCTGCCTGCTACATCGGCCCACGCCACAGTCCCAGTGGGTCCCCCCGAGTTCACATGTTGGAAACTTCATCCCCAACTCACACCCGTGCCGATGGCATTTGGAGGTGAGGTCTTTGGGGGTGATTAGGGTTGGGAGAGGTCATGGGGGTGGGTGTCAGTGGCTTTGAAAGAAGAGGAAGAAGGGCTAGAGCTGTGGCTTAGTTGGTTGGGCCTCCAACTGTGGCACCAGCATCCCATAAGGGCACCAGTTCAAGTCCCGGCTGCTCTTCTTCTGATCCAGCTCGCTGCTCATAGTCTGGGAAAGCAGTGGAGGATGGCCCAAGTGCTTGGGCCCCTGCACCTACGTGGGGGACCTGGAGGAGGCTCCTGGCTCCTGGCTTTGGGTTGGCCCAGCTCTGGCTGTTGTGGCCATTTGAGGAGTAAACCAGAGGATGGAAGACCTTTCTCTCTTTCTCTCTCTTTCTTTCTCTCTCTCTCTCTCTCTCTCTGTAACTCTGCCTCTCAAATAAATAAATAAATCTTTAAAAATGAGAGAGAAAGAAGAGGAAGAGGCCAGAGCTGGCGCACCTGCTCCGTCTCAGCGCGGGACGCCCTCTGCCGTGTTACGGTGCGGCAAGAAGGGCCCGCCCGCTGCCGAGCAGGTGGCAGCACCACGCTCCTGGCTACCCAGCTTCCAGAACCAGGAGCCAAGTACACTGCCGCTCTGTAGAAATGACCTGGTCTCAGCTGGACGTCGGGGGGCCGAGGCGACACCGGAGGTGCTGAGTGGGGACAGCGTTTGGAAGCACCTGGTGGGAGGAGACAGGAGTGCGAGGCGACCCGCACAGACCTGGAGCCCCGACCCCGAACGAAGACGGCCCCTGGGGCTGGAGCAGTGCAGGGGCCTGGGGGAGGCCCGGCCAGCGACAGGAGAACAGCCCCCCAAGGACAGAGGGGAGTGACGGAGCGAGGGGGCAGCCACCCAGCTGTGACGGGAAGACACAGAGGGCGGGCGTTCGGAGCGGTGATTAACTCGCTCTCTAAGGCACACGGACAGCCAGCGGTCGGTTGGGGGTTTAGGAGCGGAAATGCATAGAAGAGTCAACCGGAGCGGATTTAAGAAGATTTTCCTTTGCATTTCAGCGGGGTGCTTGGCAAAGCAATGATGTCTCCATTTCATCAGGGAATGCAAGTGCATTGAAAAATGACCGTGACCCTGGTGCATTTTATTAGGAAAATAGATACCTTCCCTGCAGTCTGCTAAGTGTGGGACCATGGCAAGCATCCCCGAGGGGGCCTGCCTCTAACCCACTATGCTGTGTGTACCAGGATGGGGCTGGGGGCGTCAGGCAGGCTTGGGTTTGAGTCTCGGTGCCACTGCTGGCCGGCTTTGGGGCTGTGGGCATGCCGCTGACCTGGGCTCAGTTCCCTCCATCTGTAAGTAGGGCTGTTTGAACACACCGACGTTGCCTTAGCATTTGAGTACAGGTGAGGTCACTCACATTAACCCTGGATTCTGGCGGCTCATGGCTCCCACCTGTGCTAAACTCTACCTGCCTCAAACAGCCTCCCCCTCTCCCCCACAACCGGTTGCTGGCTGTTCCTGGTCACATTGCAGCTCACAAGTCTGGCTGCACCATCATCCTCACCCCCACGCCCAGGGGACCCACCCGTGTCCTCTGCTTTCTGGGCACAGCTGAAACCCCCTGCTTGGGCGTCTTGCTCTGGGGCAAAGTGGAGAGGAAAGGGCGAGAGCTGGGCATGTATTCTGCACTGACTGTGTACCAGGCACACATCCAGGACCTGTGTCCTGGCTCTGAGGGGGGAGGTGGGGGCAGGGCAGGCCAGCCCCCCCTGCAGGGGAAAGGTCGGCTCGGTCTGACCGGGAAGCAGAAACAGCCCCCGCTCGGCCGCCTAATGTGTTTACCCAAGGCTGGAGCAGGTGGGAGTCCCATCTGCTAATCTCTCCCAGCTGCCACCCCAGGCCTGCAGCACGGGGACAGGGGCCCTGAGGGGGCTGCGGAGGGGCTAGGACACTTCCTTCCTCCTGTGGTGAGAGAAAGCCCCTTCTCCGTGGGGAGAGAGGTCAGCAGAGACGAAGGATCGCTTCCGGGGAATCCCTCCCTCCTGGCTCGGCTGGTGCAGCCCCAGTGCCCACTCTGGGCCCCAAACCTGCTCCAGCCCCAGGGCAGGGTGCACTGTAGAATCAGAGCAGGAGGCTCGGGACCCGAGGGGCTGTGTCTCCCCCTGGGCTGACCAGAGACAGGCCTGGCTCGCATCTGCTCTAAGCCCACCCCTTTCTGCAGGCCCTGGGCACTTCTCTCCCCCTAAAGACTCCCCCTCCCATTGCTCAGCCAAAGAGGCTCGTTGCTCCAGCCCAGGAAACGCCCGGAGTCGTGTAGCTGTCTTCCTTTTCATTCCCTGGCATTGACACTGGAAGCCAGACAGGAGATCCATGTGGACACCCAGAGGCAGGACCGGGAAAGGGGGTAGCCTGGGGATAACTCATCCACCCATCCACTCATCCACCCACCCATCCATCCATCCATCCATTCATCCATCCACTCATCCACCCACCCATCCACTCATCCATCCACTCATCCACCCACCCATCCACTCATCCAGCCACCCACCCGTGCAATCATCCACCCACCCACCCACCCATCCACTCATCCACCCACCCACTCATCCACCCATCCATTCATCCATCCACTCATCCACCCACCCATCCACTCATCCATCCACTCATCCACCCACCCATCCACTCATCCAGCCACCCACCCGTGCAATCATCCACCCACCCACCCACCCATCCACTCATCCACCCACCCACTCATCCATCCATCCATTCATCCATCCACTCAGCCGTCCACCCACCCACTCATCCACCAATCCAGCCACCCACCCGTGCAATCATCCACCCACCCACCCACCCATCCACTCATCCACCCACCCATCCATCCATCCATCCATCCATTCATCCATCCACTCATCCACCCACCCATCCACTCATCCATCCACTCATCCACCCACCCATCCACTCATCCATCCATCCATCCATCCATCCATCCATTCATCCATCCACTCATCCACCCACCCACCCATCCACTCATCCAGCCACCCAGCCACCCATCCATCCATCCATCCATCCATCCATCCATTCATCCATCCACTCATCCACCCACCCACCCATCCACTCATCCAGCCACCCATCCATTCATCCACCAAGCCATCCATCCATCCACTCATCTACCCACCCACCCATCCACTCATCCAGCCACCAACCCACTCACCTTTCATTCATTCATTTGGCCACAGCTGTTCCAGCACTCATCACACACCCGGAGAAACGCCCCTCACAAGAGAACGCCCACAGCAGCCAGTGCCATTCATCAGTACCCAGCATAACATCCCCCTTCCCCAGGAAGTGGGACTTTCTGGGGGAGTAAACATATGAATGGGCTAAGTTGCCCTCCTCTCTACCTGGAATCCAGAGGAAGAAACTCCCCCACCCCACGATTACAAAGCAGGCTGCGGATGAGGTTTTGTTGGGCACAACATCCAAGGCCCCGTGCATGTGGCCCTGAGCCCCTCCAGACCCCTGGTTGGGTTCCCTCCTCTACAGTTCTGCCCCCTTGGGGAGTTCAGGAAGCTTCAGCACAGGCCCCACCCCCACCCCTTCTGGCCGCGACCCCAGGGTGCAGAGCAGGTAGGCATCACGGATGACCTGCTGCACAGTGGCCCGGAAAGTCTTGCTGACAAAGCAGTAGAGGCCAAAGTTGACGACTGTGTTGAGCATGGCCGCCATGTTGGCCACGTCCAAGGCCAGGTGCACCCTCCAGTCCCGGTGGACGGGGGCCACGTACAGGTGATAGAGCATGACGATGATGCGGGGAGCCCAGAGGAGGGCGAAGAGCGAGGTGATGCCCAGGAGGATGGCCGTGCTCTTGCCCACCCGGGGCTGAAGCCCACTCTGGCCCCTCCGCCGCAGCTGGCAGATGATGGCGGAGTTGGTGACCAGGAACACGCCACAGGGGATGAAGTAGACAGTGAGGCAGTGAGCCCACTTGAGGACCTCGTCCAGGGTGCTGCGGGGCTCTGTGTCCCGCCACACAGTCCAGCCACCAGTAGAAGGGGATCCCCGTCAGCAGGGCGGCGCTGAAGACAGCGGCGATGGCCCGACGGGTGCGGCCCGGGGTGGAGTTGGCGCGATGGTGCAGGGGGCGGCACAGGGCGTTGTAGCGGTCAAGTGTGAGCAGGACAGCGACCCAGACGGAGGCGTGGTTGGTGGCGAACTCCAGGATGTTAGCGGTGCGCACCACGGCCCGCGGCACCTGGCGGGCCAGCACGGCCCCCTGCAGGAGGAAGCCCATGAAGACGATGACCACCTGCGTCACGACGTCCGCGGCCGTGAGTGCCAGGAGGTAGTAGTAGGAGGGCTTCTTGGTTCTGGCGACGAGACGGGCCAGGGCCACTGTGGTCAGCAGGTTGACTGACGGCAGCGGAGCCGGGGTGGAAGGGTCAGAGGTGTGCGTTAGACGGGGATGCACCTGTCCTTGTCAGTCCCCGCCCACATGTGCCAGAGGTGGTGCTGGCTGCTTGGTCCCTCCTTCCAGATCCTTCTCAGAACTGACTTTGCTGGGGAGGCCACCACAAGGCCAGCCCTGCCCTGTCCACCCACACACCACGGGCTCTGATTTGCCATTGCCCACGTAGTAGTGTCGGTTCCAGTCCCGGCTGCTCCACTTCCGATCCAGCTCCCTGCTAACGCGCCTGGGAAAGCAGCGGAAGATGGCCCAAGTGCTTGGGCCCCTGCACCCACCTGGGAGACCTGGAGGAAGCTCCTGGCTCCTGGCTTTGGCCCGACCCAGCTCCAGCCATTGTAGCCCATTTGGGGAGTGAACCAGCTGCTGGAGGACCTCTTTCTCTGTCTCCCCCCATCCCATAACTCTGCCTTTCAAATAAATAAAACAAGTCTTTAAAACAACAACAGTAAAAGGCCCCTGGGCGGTGGCATCTCCTGGGGTCTGGCTCTGTTGTTCTGCATCTCTTCCCTGGCCACAGAGAGGGGCTTGTTCACCTCTCCTACCCCGTGAGCACCCTCACCCCCACCCAAGCCTGCCTCTGATGGCAGAGGGTGGCGTGGGGGCTCACTGCTGGCACCTCTGGGAGGGTGCTGCCTGTTCTGGCTAAGTCTTGAGTTTCCCTCTGAGCACCCCTAGTCCTAGCCCCTCATTTTTACCCCCCTCTAGACTTTGCTCCCCAGAACACCCTCGTAATGGTGAGGGGTGACCTGCCCGGGGGTCTAGGACCCTGGGTCCCCGGCGTCAGCACGGAGGCCTGGCACCCCTTGAAGGAGGACCCCGATTTCCGGCCAAGTCCGGGCCCCAGACTCTGGCTCGGCACTCACCAGGCAGCCCCAGGCCCAGCAGGACAGCTGTAGTAGATGACTGCTACGGTGCCAGCCACACACGGGGACTTCTCTGGGCTCTCTGGCCACTGCCCTCCGAAGTCCTGGCCCGGCCAGCTGCCATTGGGTGTGGGCGGCAGGGTGGGCGGCAGGGTCGCCGGCAGCGGCCCCGCTGCAGGGCAGGAGAGCAGGGTTAGTGTCTCTTTACTCCAGCTGGGGTCGTGCTGTCACACCCCCAGGCCATGCAGAGCCCAGTCGGGCCAGCCGATGGCCACATCTCCCACCAGGTAACTCCCTGCCAAGTCCACTGTCACCCCCACGCCAACGGCTCAGTGGCCCGGCTCCCCCTCTGGTGGGCAGAAGAGCGTCCTGCTGCCAGAGAGACCATTCCCCGATGGCGTGCACAGCAGAGGCCCTGAGTCAGGACCACAGGGGCCCTGTGCAAACGCGCTGAGCCGGCAGCCTGGGCCCCGGGGGTCTGCAGCGGGGCTCGAGCCACTGAGCCTTTCCCTGCAGCCTGGGCCTCCCCGGGGGGACTCCCAGCCGCAGCCCAGCCCCACGCAGCGACCATGCAGGCGGCCCGCCCTCCAGGTTCAAGGGCTTCCCTTGTCACAGTCCCCAGGCCCTTCTGGAGTGACCGCCATCTGCTCGCTCTGGCCCCTGCTCCCTTCCAACCTCGCCGTAAGTCCCGGCTGGACCTGGGGGAGGGGCAGCCCCTTGCTAAACCTAGTCCCCAGCCCATCACACGCTTCCGCCTCCCCGTCCCGCCTCCAGACCCTTTACCGGTCTCCCGTCCCTCCCTGGCCCGCCACCTGCCGTGCCCGCCCCACCCCTGTGTCCGGATACCTTACCTGTCCCTGGTCCCTCAAGCCCCAAGCTCTTGGGTCCTGAGTCCCAGGTCACCTGTGGCTGCTCCTGGGGGTCTCCGCAGCTCCCTGTCAGCATCATTGGCCGCACCCCTGGGCACCCGGCTCTGCCGGCGGTGTTTGCTCCACGATTCTTGCACGGACGCCGAGCCTGAGACAGACGGGGTGGTGAGGAGGAGGGAGGAGGAGGAGGAGGAGGAAGAAAAGGGTGGGGCGGAGGCACAGGGGACAGCAAGCAAATCAGGAGCCCCTGGGGCGGGGGGAGGAGTAGTGGGGGGTGACTTGGGGGACACAGGTCTGTCTGTGCTTAGGGAGGGAAGAGGAAGGGCTCATGGGACTCGGGTCCCAGGGCCAGGTCAGTGGGGTCAGCCCTGAAGAGGCTGAGGCTACTCCCAGGGGCTGCTGGCCGGGTCGATGGCAGGCAGCCGTGTGCGGGGGTGGTGGCCACCCCTGGGAAGATCTGACGAGCTGCCCTCAGCGCTGGGGAACCGCAAGCTGTTTTCCTGGCCCTGGTGAAAAGAACCATCCCTCAAGAAAATCCGTCCCTGGCAAACAAACACCAGCCGGTGCCGGCGGACACTCTGGAGAGGCAGGGTCTGTGCCCAGCTGGCTTCCCTGCCCGGGGGACAGTGGCCAGGGCAGCCCACTGCGGGCTCCTGATTGCTTTGGGAGCAGAGCCGAGGCCCTGCCTGGATCCCTCCCCATGACCCACCCTCTGAAGATACAGAAGTTAGAGCCCATTTCCAGGGGCTGGAGCCATCTGCTCCCAACCCCCACATCCACCCCAGCGCTCACAGCTGGCTCCTTGCTGCCCCCTGGTGGCCACATCCCATCCCTACAAGCCTATATGAGTCCTGCTGGCTTGGGTCAGGCCCCCTGTGCTGCCCAGCTGGGCCAGGCAGGCACGACCAGCTTGTCAGGTCTCCAAGCACACAGCTGGGACCTCAGCCACAGATAGTGCACGTGGCACAGGCAAGTACCCAGGCAGCCACCTCTGTGTACCACGACGCTGGTGGAGCTGGGGACACAGCCGCCCCAGGGAGTTGGAAAGACCAACCTGGTATGGGGTCAGCACTTACTGACAGTAGATCCCGCCCTACACTCTTCTGAGAGGTGTGCATTTCACTGGGGTCCCTAAACACTCTTCAGACAGAACAAGATGCAATCTGGGTTAGGGGAGGCCCGGGGTCGGGGAGGGGTCCCAGGTTTGCCACAGGACCCCAGGGAGGTCCTCCCGCCAGCCCAGAGGCTAATGTCACAGCCACCTCCCCGAGTCCCACCCCGGGAAAGCCCTGTCCTGACAAGAGGGTGCTGTTCACCTGCCCGAGCCTGCTTGGACCTCCAAGGGTCTCCGCGGGAGCACCCGCTTCCCTGGGGGTGCCTTTGAAGACCTGCAGCAGCCGAGACAGGCAACGCTGCATTTCCCACACGGGGCCACTGGCACTGTCTTCCTCAGGGTGTGCATTCCACTCGGGACGGCGAGCATGTCCCACAGGGGTGTGGAGTCCCATGGGGACACGGCATCTGCAGGACCCACAGCTGGATGGATGCCCAGCTCTGCCACTGCGGCGGGCAGGACAGCGGTGGCACGGAAGGACACTCATGTCCCCAGCAGGTGCACAGGCAGGCAGCCTGTTCAGAGGGGAGAGACCCCTTCCTGGTGGGAGGGGGCGAGTCTTCCCCACATGGTGCCCGTGTCAGTGGCCAGGGTAAAGGCCAGTACCTCCGAGCCAGCCGGCTGAAGCAGCGGAAGACACGTGGACAAGCAGCCGCCCCCGGACCTTGGTCTCCGATGTCTTCGGCTGCAGGCAGAGCCCAGGGAGCTCCCCGGGCCAGAGCTCCAGGCGGACTGGCTGCTCCGTGACCCTGCACGCTTCACCCTCCAGGCCGCCCCGGCTCTGGTTCCCTTCTCTGACAGTGATGGGACCCAGGAAGGGGCGGGCCGAGGAGGAGGTGGGCTGTGGCTCCGGCAGGGAGGGGCTTTCCATGGGGCACAGCACGCCCTGGGCGGGGGGGCGCATGTAGGGGGCTGCTGAGCAAGGGGGGGGGGCTGGGCCACCCTGCTGGGCGGCCTGGGCTGACAGAAGCTTAGCAGGTACTTCTGGCTGTTTCCTGAGGATTCCTTCTTGTGTCTCTGTAATGTGCACCCCACCCCACCCCCAAGTACACAGGCCTGGATCCTAACACGACTCCTTGTTCCCCAAGATGAGTGCCTGGGTCACTCATGGGACCCGAATCCAGGGCAGGGGACGTTAGAGATGCAGGGCACCCTGCCAGGTCCGGACAAGGCTGGGGCTGGGGCTGGGGCTGGCCCGTCTGCAGTGTCACTGGGCCCCGGCATCTAGGACTCGTCCGTCCTCGGTGTCACCACACCCCAGTGCCTGGTCACCCCCCCTTGCAGATTCAGAGTCTCTTCCCTCTCCCCAAGCTTGCGAAGGCTTCCAGCGGCTTCTACAGCACCGGTGACTCCCGGCCCAATGGACTCGGGACCACCACGCCTTCCCCAGCAAAGCCCGCATGGGGGCGGCTGGGAAGAGAAGTCGGACTCTCTGTGGTGCGCATCCTGGCTCTGCAGCTCCCGGCCATCAGCCCCCAGGCAAGTCACGGAGGTCACAGCCACGCTCCCCTGCGGCAGGAAGCCACGCTCCCCCGTGGGGACTGTTCTGAGCCCATCAGATGCCTGCTCCAGGAATGGCGGGCGTGCAGGTCCCAGGGCAGGGTACAACCGCGGGCCAGGGCCCTGCTTCCTCCCCCGCCCCAGACGCCTTCCTCCCCTCCCCCCTTCACATGCGCACCACAACAGCAACCCTGGGACTGAGAAAATGGGGATGGAGAGGGCCTCCACCTGCCAAGCCGGCTTCTAGATCCTTCCGGCAGGGTCGGGAGCAGCAGGAGGCGGGGCCCTAGGAGATGAGGAGTCGGAGGAGACCCTCCTGGGTTCCTGATGCTCTCTGGGCTCTCCCAGCTCCCTTGCACAGCAACGCTCGGGACAGATGCCCCGGCCCGCCCCTGGGAGCCCTGGGCTTCCCTTCTGGGAAGACTGACGCGGCTCCTCAGGGAGGCAGAGTGCAGAGGCGTGGGCTCCGTCAGCGACACTCCCCTTCACAAGCATCGCGGGTGGAAGCTGGGCCACCCCCACGGCCCCGGCTACCCGGGGTCACCAGGGCGCCGACTCACGGGTTGAGCCAGAATGTGGTGCTGCCTCCCCCCCGCCGGAAAGGGCAGGCAGGCAGCCAGTGGACAGGCACTGGACGCGAGGAGCCAGGCGTGCGTGGCCGGGCAGCCGCGAGGGCTTTCCGCTGGGCTGGGCAGCCCCGGCTCTGCCAACCCGGATGGGGCAGGTGCCAGCCCCAGTTCTGCTCTCTCTGTGGCTCCAGAGAGAAGCTGGTGCTGTTTGCTGGGAGCCTGTGCGCCAGCCCGGGGCAGAGATCGATGCATCGAGCGGGGCCCTGGGATCTGGACAGCAAGGGCGGGGACGAGGAATTCGTCTCAATTCCAGAGACGTCCCAGCCACCAGGAGCCACCGAGAGCTCCCCGCAGAGGGGGCCCCACAGCGTCTGCCCCGCCCCCAACCCCAGACACATCCCTTCCCGCTGCCTCTGGGGGGCCGTCATTTTAGAAGAACACTTCTCCGGCTCAGACCCCAGCCCACTCCCTGCCTCGGTTTACAGTCGGAGGTGGATGCCAAGTGCATGCAAGCCTCCTTGGACCTTTGGGAAGAGAAGAATGGAAAACCAGACGCTGGCGAGAGAAGCCTTCTCGGGAGACGGCCCTGGAGCCCTGGGCCACTTGATGGGGGCGGATTAAAGGCAGGAAGTGGTGGGGCAGAGGGGCCCGCCGAGGACCGGCCTCCTGGAGGGCGGCCAGCCCTGCTCAGGGCAGGCAGGGGTGCGTGGGGGAGGGTGCATTTGCTCTACGCCCAGCCCAGCCACCCTGGTTCACCGTGACCCTGGGGAAAGGGGTCATGGTCAGATTGCCCACCGCCCTCCCCAGGGCACCCTGGGGACCTCCTTCAACCAAGGACATGAAGATAAGGCTTTGCCCCGTGGGTCCCTATCTAGACCCCGCTCGCCCCCTCTGGAGAGCCAGCCCACCCCAAAACTGCAGTGGAGGAGGGGTGGGAGCCAGAGCCGTCTCTTCCCCCTGCTGGTCCAGGCCCTTCCTCTGTAGCCGGTTCACCATGGCATCCAGACTCGGGGCTGCCAAGTGTGCTGTGTGCCAGGGCGGAGGCTGGGCCTGGGGCCCGGGGCCTGGTGGAGGGGGCTGGGGACTCGAAGGCCAGTGGTTGCCAGTGATCCCGGAGCCCCTCGCCTGCCCTTCCTGGGAGAGGCCGGCTAGCGCTGCTGGGTGGTAAGGAGGGGTGGGGGCGGCGGGTGCCGGATCTGTTCCCCTCGGGGGCCCAGGGAGCACAATAGCCCCCGGGGCTGCTGCTCTCTGGCTTAAGTGGTTGCCTGGGCAACAGCTGGGGCCAGTTTCCACCAATCCATGGCAGGGGCTGGGAGGGGGGAGGGAGGCCAGGCAGGAAGGGGGTGCCGGATCCTATATAAGGAGGAGGGACGTGAGCCGAGTGGCCTGAGCGTCCCTGTCCCTTCAGCGCACTTGGGGACAGAGCACAAAGATGCCCAGGATGGGCTCCTCCAAGCCAAGGTCCTGGGGCAGCTTCTGGGCCATCCTGACCTTGGTGGGCCTGGCCACTCGTGCAGGTGAGTGGGCAGTGGCTGCAGGGTAGGACCGTCCAGCCCTCCCAGGAGGGGGCAGTGTCCAGCGGGCTGGAGAGAGCAGATTCGCCAGGCCGCCCTGTGGGAGGAGGGGCTGGGCAGGCTGGGGCAGGCGGGCGGGCCGGGGTCTTAAAGACAAAGAGACCCTCATTGTCCTTTGTCCCGCACAGAGCTGAATGGGGAGTCATCAGCATTCAGGTCTTTCCAAGTGACAGCTGGGAGAGGCGGGGCTGGAAGTTCACCGCCTTCCCTCCCTCCCTCTCTCTCGGAGCACAGCGCCTGCTCGGAGAGCCTCCTCTCCACGGGGCCGCACGCGCCACGGGCCTGTGTGCGTGGCGCGAGGCGGTGGGGTGTGGCTGGTGCCCATCTGCTGCTGCCAGCCCCCCCCGCCCCCGCCAGGCTCCTTGAGCGGCTGCTCTCACTGGCAGCGTCTTCTGTAACTGAGTGCGCGTCCCCCTCGGACCCACAGGGCTTCCCTGGA